CTGTGACTGTGAGATGGCGGCAAGCCAGGTCCACCACAGTGCAACTAATCACCCAACATATAATCAACCATCAGTCATACAAAAAGAAGATGGAGGAGTAAGAAGGGAAAATCGGCTTGAGGTTGGCACGGGCCACCACAACAAATGGGAGGAAGAAAACAAACTCGTCGCAAAACCACACAAAACGACAGCGCATAAGCAAAACACCAGGGAAGATGCAGAGTGGGCCCAAACCAGAGAGCCGTCCATTCAGAGACCAATGAATAGTCTAATGTGTCTAAATGAACAGTCCAATGTATCTTGGTATACAGGGATCGCAGATTAGTGTGATTAACTTCTTTAATTAGAAGGAACAATTTTGTCGCTATAGCTAGCCTATCGAACTCTAATTAAAGTTAGTTTCAATAGTGTTTCTTGTATAATGGCGGATATATTAAACAGAATAAAAAAAACTGTACATCAATAAGAAGTCAAGAAGAAAAAGAAAAACTCGCAAAAGACTTGTAGGTCACTCTCTTCATAGTTCATCATTAGCTACCTCCCCTTTCCACCTTGTAGCAATTAGACAAATTGGTCGAGACAGATTGATTCATATTTTAGAATTACGCCATACCTCTCTTCTACCTTGTAGCAATTAGACAAATGAATCGAGATAGATTGATTCATTCTTAGGATCAGGCCATTAAATATTACTGGAACATAGCAAGTTGAATGATTATTAATTATCCAAAAATACTGAAAGTTCAATAAATTTCTGGGTAAAATTAATTAGGAGTATGGGCATTATGATGATGAGCCATCCAAAATAAACTCAGAAAATAAATTGAAAACCATTTCAAAAAATCGTCCATAAATATGAAAACTTGACAAATGTCAGACCTCCACAACAATTTATTGTACAAGAAAGTCATTCTTTTATCTTCTTCTTATTTACCCCTCTCGATAGGAAAGTGGCCACAACTTGGCTCTATTCTAATAACTAGCGTGGCCTCGGCCATTTGGCCGGAGGAAGATGAGGTATGAAATTTGATAATGTAATGGAGTGTATAGCTTATTGTTGTATACTTTTTTTTTGGGGAAACACGTGATAAAAATAGTGAATTTTAGTAGGAAAGAGACATGAATGATGCAACGAATCAAAAATCAGCCTTATGAACCAAAATCAAGTACCTGTTACCTTGTGAAACAATATTGTTTCTGGTAATATGATGAGGTGGAGTAAGTTTTATAGAAACCGAATTCCAGAAAATCGAATAAAAAATCGCCTATCCCGCCGGTTTTCGGGAAATGAGCATCTCACAATCGTTGCTAGCTTTTACTCGGCCCGTTGGCCGATTAATTTGTTTTTATAAAACTTTCATCTTGTCATCATTGTGCTTTCTGGTTTTTTGCCACGCCATGATAAAATCTAAAGAAATCAAGAATGAACAACACGATTTAGGATAGGAACCACCGTTCCTGTATCCCTAGAAAATGGTGGTAAACACGGACTCACCTGCCAAACTGGTTTGTATTGAGATTTTTATCGGGTATCAGGGAACCATGTGATTATTAATTAGACTTGATCAAAACATGCCAAAACTTGAAATTCATCATGTTTGACCGACCCATGCCAACCTCTAATTATTCTTTACTTTTAAACTTTCTATTTGAAAATAAAAAATAATGAAAGAAAAGAGATGACTGCAATTCGCCATTTGCACATCACTGATTCGGGAATAAAGCTATAGAATTTCTAAAGGAAACTGAAAATGTTTAGAATCGTTTTAATGAAATTAATGTTAAAAATAACCAAATAGATCTTTCTGTTTAGTTTTTTACTAACAAATATCAAACGATTTCCTATAATATACACTATAATTTAATCATTATGATATCAAATAATTACATAATATATATTTGAAATGATACAAATTGAACTAATTGGGTTGGTCGAGGTTCATTGAATAACTTTAAAATACATTATATTTTAGCCACTAAGATATAAAATAATAGCATAATATATATTATGCTAGAGAAAATAGCTTGTTTTAGAATGGCAAACCCATGATGTTTATTTGTATTACTTGATTGGCAAATCCTGTGTAGGTCAGACCTATTCAACTCTTTTATTTATGATTAGCGGTTAGCCCATTAGAATCCATGCATTAGTTTATTGTTAAATTTTTTTCTTTTTAGCAATAAAAAGGAGTATTGTTTTTTCCTTTTCATATATATTTTACCACCACGGAGAAATAAAAGGACTTAAAGAACAAAATTGACACTCCCGGACCCGTTTAAATCCGCTTGTGTACGGTAAGTTGGCCCGTTCCACAGAGAAAAAAGGAAAAATTGACACTCCCTATTCTACCCTTCCTGCAAACGCTCCTGGAGCAGGAAATTTGAAATAGGGGAAGAGTTTTTTCCTCACTACGATTATATATTTTCAATTTAAAAAGATACAACAAACATACTTAGTGTGATTGGTTATGATCTTTGCTTTTCTTTGAAAGTGGACATGGTTCGAATCCTAGTAAGTGTGTTTTTAATGAATAAAAAAAGTAATTGTGAAGACCAAAATGCCCTTCCTACTTTCACTCTGGATGCAGGAAATTTGAAATGGGGCTTCAAGTTTTCTCATTTGGCTTTTATTTATTGTGTAGATTCAAGGGCACTCCTTGTAGTTGCCCTCAGTTCCGGAAGGGACACAGCTGCACAGTATACAACAAGCTTACAAGCCGGCTTGCAATGGAATGGCGCCCTTGATAATTGGCACCTAGCAATGCAAGCTTTATCACAATCTGTGCACGTAAAAAATAAAAACAACCCACAACATTGATTCAGAGTATTAGTTTGCCAAAAATACAGAATTCACTATAAGAAAAACTACATTTCGCGTCAGAAGAAGAAAAAAAACAGTGGTCATACATTAGTAAGGAAATGTTGTTAGGGTGATTGTTATGTGCGCGAGTAATTTAGTATTAGTCGAATGACTAACCTAGTTTAGTAGAGCCACCGTCGGAATCGGCTAATTCGGAGACCACATTGGATTGGTGATGATCATGAGCATGAATGAGCTGGAGCATGAGAAATGAGAGGACGGCGGTAGCAACGAGAAGCCTTGAGATTGCCATAGGTTTTTAATTTAAGGGTATAGTTTCTTTGGAGCTAGATGGTTGGTACTTGGAGAAAAGGGTTGATGAGTGGTGAGAAGATGAGATGGAAAAGTGACCGGGTATTTATAGTGACAAGGTTGAAGCTAGATAGATATATTAAGTTAAATGTATGAAGGTATATAGAAAATAAATGAATTACATAATTCACAATTGTGATGTTTGTTTAATCTTAGAATATAATGGGATGTGAGGAAACGGCAGTAATATAAAATTGTTCAAAGAGAAGACAGAAGAAAAAGAACGAAAAGGAGAAAACAACATTAATCTGAGTATCTGACCCACTCCAAGACCATTTCCAATGTACAAGTTTAAAAAGTGTCAAATTGTATACTTATATTTGATATATTATTGGTCCACTTGAAGTAGATTTGCTTCATTGGGAAGGTCAATGTGCCAAAATTTTCATGTTTAGGGTAGATTTCATTATTTTAATTCATTATTTTATATAGCCAGTTATAATTAATTATGACTAACATTTTGATGCAATTTTTTCATTTGAACAAAAAAAATCATTAAACATGATATCATAAATGATGAAAACACAGTAATTATTGCCTACCCAAATTATCAACAACAACAAAAATTATACCCAAATTATAAGCAGAATTTTTAAAAAAAATTTACCTCCTAATATTGGTTTTGTTCGCCCCTAATTAACTAACATGCAGTTGATTTTCTTTAAATTTCATCCGTTCATGTTTTCTTTCAATTCTCTCTTCCTTTCTTTGAAGCAATACACCCCAAAAATTCCAATTCGAATTGTCGAATCATGAATGTTTTTTTGCGACATATGAATTTACAAGGGCAAAGCTACACTATGTCTCGAAAAGGTTTGTTCCCGAAATTTTTGAAAGTCATGTATACATTCCAAAATTTGTAGGCTTAACTCTTTAAAGAGTACATGCACGCTCCAAAATCCTGGCCTAAAAAAAGCTTTAAAGGGAACGACTTCTTTTCACGCCCCTTTTAGATAATAGTAATACCATTCATAAGGAAGCCCCAAACACCATTAAATTTATAGGAAATTCCTACAATGCCTTGAAGTAAGGTAACTTGATTTTTTTTACCTGCTATAGCAGGTTTCCAAGGTTGTATTACGTAAAACACAACAGGTGTTACGTAATGATTACGTAACGTATGTGCATCTTCCGTAACAGTTGTAAAATCTCATTACGGAAGCCTTACGTAGTGGAGGCTTCTTTTACGTAATGAATATTTATCTCGCGTTACATAAAGTAATAAGTCATTACGGAAGTCTTACGTAATGCTTCTAATTTAACTATTACGTAAGAGATAACTGTCATAACGGAAGCCTTACGTAATTCAGCCTTCTTTTACGTAATGAAGATTAACCTTGTGTTACGTAAGACTTGAAGGTATTACGGAAGCCTTACGTAATTGAGGCTTCTTTTACGTAATGAATATTAACCTTGCGTTACGTAAAGTGTGAAGGTATTACGGAAGCCTTACGTAACGCTTCTGATTTAACTGTTACGTAAGAAACAACTGTCATTACGGAAGCATTACGTAATGGATGTGTATTTTATGTAACAGTTCTAAAATGTCATTACGGAAGCCTTACGTAATTGAGACTTCTTTTACGTAATGAATATTAACCTTGCGTTACGTAAAGTGTGAAGGTATCACGAAAGCCTTCCGTGACGCATCTGATTTAACCGTTACGTAAGAAACAACTGTCATTACGGAAGGTTTACGTAATGGATGTGTATTTTACGTAATAGTTGTAAAATTTCATTACGGAAGCCTTACGTAATTGAGACTTCTTTTACGTAATGAATACTAAACTTGCGTTATGTAAAGTCCGTGCATCGATGGATTTCGAACCCTTCTCTTGCGGCTAACTTCCCTCGAGTTGCTGCTGTCTCCACTAACTTGGATGCTAGGATCAACGACATCGTGGAACTTTCAGGTGATAATGTTTCTTTTAATTTACACACAAATATTCAATTGAGAGGGGGTGCTGAGCAGGAAAAACAAAATTTGATTTCACTTCTTAATTCCTTTGATTTCACTATCGGTGCTAATAGTCCGTGCAGACTTGTGTGGCTTCCTGACCAGGAGGCAGGCTTTTCGGTCAAATCCATGTACAGAGCATTGATGGAGAACAGGTGTCCAGGATTTTCCGCATTCCCTGCAGATTCTGTTTGGAGGAAAATAGTTCCTTCAAAGATATGCTTTTTCATTTGGACAGTGGCGCACAACAGCATCCTGACGCAAGACAAACTGAAGAAACGTGGCTGGAGTTTGGCTAATAGATGTGATCTGTGTTACACGAATGAAGAAACGAATGCCCATATGCTCGTTGATTGTATTTTCACAAAGCAAGTCTGGAGCATCATCAGGAGAAGTTGCAGGCAGTCGGTTTTCCCTTCAGGCAACGATCTCGACGTCATCCTGAAGAACTGGCCAACTGACATCCCTGACAGTATGGAAGGCTGGTTTGTTTACTGTGCTTTCCACGCTGTTTGCTGGTGTATCTGGCTGGAAAGAAATAACAGAATCTTTAATGGTATCTCGAGGAATCCTGATCAGATCGTTAGGAAAGTTTTGAAGAATGTTGCAGGATGGGGAGTTGCGAATGGAAAGATCGATCGCCTGGGGGCAGCTACCTGGGTTCGCGAACGCATTAGACAGATACAATGAACAAGGAAGGTGCTGGTTCTTGAATCTTAATCGAGCAGAGGGAGCTGCTCTATGCTGTCTTGTGCTGTGCAAAATATTTATATTCAGCAGATGTTTGCCTGTGTGGCCGGTGGAATCTGAGTTTTCTTTGCATGGACTTCCCTTGCTTTCTTTTTGGGGTGTTCGAACCTTCTTGTGGCTCTCCTACTCCTTTTCTTCTTCTGGTTCTTATGTTTGTGGGATCATCCCTCCTGATCTCTTTGTACAGATTAGAACCCTTTTTTCTTATTAATAAAATCATCTTCATCAAAAAAAAAAAAAAAAGGTAACGGGAATTCCTACCGAAAAAAAGGTAACGGGAATGTATTCACCGGCATTGCCGGTGTCCCCTTTTTTTTTTTTTTTTTTTTAATCAATGGCTTAAGTTGATTCTAACTGATTTTAATGGTCTAGATCTATGCAAATTACCTAACTTGAAATTATACCCAAGTTACTGTAGGAGATCCCCTAAATTTATAATATATTATTCCACACATAATAAATTTCCTATATCTTCTCACATAAAAACAATACCATAACACCACGAGATATAATTATATTGTTCATCACGATGAACCCTCCTCTCCCTTATTTCAATTATAAATCGATGATGAGTCAGCCAGACACAGAGCAATAGTACCAACACATCATCACATCCCGTAATCTTATACTTATCATCACACCCCACAAACACACAATATATATAGCTAGTGATGATCATCTCCAGAGTTGCCCTTCGTTTTAAGGGCACTTGAGCCTTCCGCCGTGGGTAGTCATACGGGCGTAACAAGGGCAGACGTCCCTGTTCCCAGAGGTGCCCGGCGGCACGCAGTTGCACCTCGAGCAGCAAGTCCCACAAGCCCTAATGCACATCTTGTGCCTCGACGCCAGCCGGCACCTCGCCTTGCATGCCCCTCCACAATCTGTCACATTTTTACGAGTAGTCGTTACATTGTAATAGTCACGCTCGTAAATAACACACACTATAACTAAGCAAATCGCGTGCGAGATATCGTACGATTTAAATGTTTGGAAAATTTACCCATTTTGGCGTATTGGACGTCACCGTAAGTGACTGCTGGTCCTTGGTCGTCGTCGGAGCCGCCGCCTATAGGGATTTGTTCATCGGCTTGGCAGAGATGGAGGGCAGGAAGTGAGATGATGAGTATGATGAGAAGAGGAGTAGCAATGGCAGGCTTAGGGAAAGCCATGCGAGGTCAGGGGAAACAGAGAACCTTATGTGTAAAAGCTATTTAAGTTTATGAGTGTGACTATGTGATGAGTTTATAGGAAGGGGGTGTATTTATATGTGTATTTTTGGGAGGCGTATGGGAATTTTAGGCCATGTGACTTATGGCTTTGAAATGGCATGTTTACACATCAGATGAATATTAATATCATGGGTTTTCACTTTTCAGCAAGGTTTAGGAAACCCTATCGTATCAGCTGGTACGACCGGAAATACGAATACCGGATCCAAAACGGTAGGCGATTTTAGCGGTAGGAAACAGTTCAATTACGGTTGAACAATGATTTTGGTAAAAAATACCCTACTATATACTTTTTCTGTATGACCTCCGGTACGGTTACCTAAACCTTGCTTTTTAGTAAGGAAAAAATATGAAAAAAATAAGATTATAGTTATATAATTGGTTGAGTTTGTTCAGATGTCCATGCCGATTAGGTTAATTAACATTGAACAACAATTTTCGTTTGTTCTTGAAATTGCAATTTTTGTTTTATGGATAGACGGACACAATTTGAAAACACTAACCCAAGCAAGTTGCGTTTCCTTTTATGTAAAAATGACACAATTTGCGACACTAGGGCATTAAAGTACATTTGTAAATGGACATCATCTTTTTCGGATTAAGGGAGTGATTCTATTAATTGAAGCCTTGAAGGTAAAAGTCTGTTACACACATACAAATATCTGAATCAAAAAGTAATAGAGTTTGACAAAGAAGTGCAACCAAGTGGGGGCGGTAAACGGTTAATCAGTTATCGGTTTTAAGCGATAACCGATTCGATAATGATGGTTGGAGATTAATCGATAATCGAATTTTTTTAGTGGTTTGGTTTTGGTTAGTTGTATTTTGCGTAGTAGTTGACGCTAACCGATCAATAACTGCCAACTAGTATAACTACAAAGTTTTAGGCTTTGGTTAAGGGGGGAAATCTCAATATGCAAAACCAACCAAAATCGCAATTCCAAACACCCATAATTTACACATATTGCAAAAAAAACCTCCACCCGAAAGTCTCAAATATGTTTAAGAGTCAGAACCCGAAAGTCGTCCCTCTATGACTCTCTTTGACGTTTGTGAATGATGATGATCTTGTGGTGCTTGTGTTTGATGTCTTGTTAGTTGGTACTTGCCAATTGGATGAAGACGTTTAATTATTTGTAATTCTGTGAGTTGGAATTTGGATTATGAATTCACGATAGATTTTGTACTGTATGTTATTCTTATAATTATTATTTTATGTTGCACATGCCCACCATATCATTTGCTTAAGGCAATCGGTCGTGAGGAATTGAACACACGATTCAACGATAAACCAACTCTGGTAGCATGTCATAACCCAACTGTTGGCAGAGTTTCATGTATGAATCTTAACCACTTGCTAACGCTTACACTTTTCAATGAATTATAGATAGATTATAATCATACAGCAGGCAATGAAATGAACTCATATTTCCATTGGTTAATCATATGATAAGCCCATGTTCAATTGTAGTTGAAAGTGTAATTAGTACACAATTAGCTGTGAACACCTTAGGAGTATGAGATTGGTTAGTCCTTCCATATATATGATGTATGACGAGTGTTGGGCTCTTTTATGGGGGAGTCTTCTTGGCGGATAGTTAGGGTTGTCCGTTTAGAAGCCTTTTTAACTCACTTTGGAAATTTGTTTGAAATGAAAAGCTTTGTTTGGGAATTAGCCCTACAAAAACGAAAAGGAGACCCTTCCTGGCAAGGATTTCCAACAAGTGCCAGCTTAGTTGATAGAGCCACTTTAGATAGAGACACCCCCACCGGCCACTGCTTTATTCTTTGCCCTTTAGGAAGAGTTCATATCAATCAGCCCTCTGAGAAGAATTAGGACGGATTCTAGGGCAGGACAGGCACTTCCATCATGCATAATAGACCCCTTGAAAATGAAGCTAATAGTACTAATAACATAAACGTCAATTAATTTTTTGATATATTATCTAGGTGATTATAGTATCCAATTCTTTCACTATGAGTAATCACAGGAGACAAATTGCAGACATTTCACTTATCAAATTATGTTCCTCCGGTCAACGGACCGGACTTTAATCTTGCATGTATATGATACAAGAAGCAAGTCTACACATGTATGAGACAAGATGCTCATGTAACTCAGGCAATGATAGTCATTACAACATGAAATGGATATCAAACAAACCAGAAAGAGATCTGCAGGGTGCTGCATTTTCTTTAGCTCTAGTATCTGCCCCTTGATCTGTATACCAACCTACGACAACCAGAAAGAGATCTGCTTCTAATGCATCTGAGAGCTAGTGGATACGGAAGACGAACATAAACCAATTATAGTCATGTTGTACAACTCAACTTGAATACAGGGAGTTCGTTATAGCATAGACAACCTTATGGCCCGTGGAACTTGCAGACATGACAGTGCACAGACATGGCGGGAGTAAGGGATCTTTCAGAGAATCGACGTCAGGAGTAGCCAAGAATCACTGGGAGTGATAATGTACTGGCGTAGATAGTTAGCTAGCTGTAAGGTATATCGGTCCTGTATATAGGCGTCCATTCTGCAGGATTGGTATATCGATCTAGGATGGAACTATCCTCAGGACACCTTCCTCCAAGCAGGTAGACACTAGTCTCAAAACAAGTTTGGAACACTTGCTCAAGCAATCTTGGGGTAGAGATTTCCTTTGAACTTGAAAGGAAGCTTTTTCATGGCAACCAGATGCTACCTATATGGGCTGCAGCTAGAAGTAACTAACCTGAGGAAAACATGGACAGCAAAGAGACGACACAAGACCAGAATCTACAAAGAAACCTAGTAATATTGCTAAATCAAAACTGGAATGCACCAAGTAAATAATTGGTTGATGAATTCCAAAGCACTGTAATAACAAATTCTCAAGGCTAAATTCCCATTTCTCAAGCGAGAAAATGGATAGGCAATCATATATTGAAATCCTTCACCTATATGAAACAACCACCCACTACTGTGTTTCAACAAGACTCGACAACTTGAACAAGAAAACCCAATTACGTGACAGTTTTATTGGCTAAGGTTGCAGCTTCACCATTCTTTGCCGAGCCAAACAGCTTACCAATTTGATAATGCTCGCGGACATGATAAGGACATTTGTAAAGCAGATCCTGTGCCTCAGCATGTCTTCCCTCCTTGAAGAAAGCTTCAAAAACATTTTTATAAGCTGCCAGTGATGGATACTGTTTACTACTCAATGCCTGAAGGAGATCTGCAGCAGCTAGCACTGTCCCATACTTGGATATGTATTGAACGAAAGGCTCGGGATACGGAGGGTAGTTGTGCTGTCTCATCAAACGAAGGACATTCATGGACTCTTCAAGTTTGCTTGCTCCTAAGAGGCTTTCTATAATAAGTTTATAGGTAGCTTGCCAAGGTCTCACATGAGTATTATTGATCATCTCAACAAGGAATGTGTATCCACCATCGATCTTCTTTTGATCAACAAAGCCCTTCACCAAAACATCCACCAAATCAGCATCAACATTACCATCTTTTCTCATCATTGTACCAAAGCACATTAGTGCCTTTTCAAGTTGCCCAGCATTACAGTGGCCCTGAATTAAAATGGTCCAGGTCTTGATATCCGGTGGACATCCATTTGCTTCCATATCATCCAAGACTTTAGAAGCTTCTTCAAATCGTCCTGCTTTGCAAAGACCAAAAACCAACTGGCTGTAGGTGATATTATCTGGCTCACATCCTGCATCCCTCATAGCATTCAAAATCTTGTCTGCTTCAGCAAAGCTTCCTGCATTCACAAGTGACCTATGTAGCCCATCATATATAGCTTTCGAGAGAACATTCCCAGTTGCCTCATACTTCTTCACAACCCTGAAAACTAAGCTCAGATCCAGCTTATGACTTGCAGACATGTTTCTAAGCAGTAAACTACAGTCTTGAGTAGAGGGTTTAAATGGACTATCCATCATGAACTCATAAAACTTTACTGACTCCTCGTTCATTTTGTACTTATGGAAATGCCTCGAGATCTTTATATAACTATCAATGTCAATATAATAACCAGCACTCTTCATCTCCTCAACAATGATCCAGAATTCCCCCATTGTATCTTCCTTGCCAAGAACCCTTGCCATTGCATTGTAAGTGACAGTGCTGTGCTTATAACCCTCGCACGTAGCAACCCAGTGGAAAAAGCTCAGAGCTTTGAAGGGACGGTTCTTAAGCTCCCTCAACACTCTTATCACGAAATTATCGGACAACACAATCTTCATATCCTCCAACCTTTTCATAACCTCATCACCCCACTCTGCTTCCAGAATAACGCCAGCCACCTTCTTCACCACACCATCCATAGCATTTTCTTGAATCATCCTGTCATAAAATTGTTTCAACGCCACAGCATCACTCTGCATTTGATCCTTCTTAAACAGCCTCCAAAGCGTAGTGTAAGTCTCCTCATCCAAACAAAATCCTTGCTCCTTCATTTTCCTTAGAGTGATCCAAAACTTCTTCATGGAATCCTTATCAGCAAATATTCTGAGCAGCAAGCTATAAAGCGAGGAGCTTGGTACAAACCCATCTCTCGTTGTGACCCAATTGTAAAAACCCCATGCCTTGTCTGGCGCGTGGTCCAGTTTCCTCAAGATATAAACAACCGTCTCATGGGTAATCAGGAAAGGGTTATTCTCCAACTGGTTCGACAACTCCGTCGACCAATCATTTCCTAACAGTAGCTCTACCACAGAGTTCGGCGAGGAGGAGAAGCACCGCCTTTGATTGGCGTGGAAAAAGTGAGACTTGGACTGAGAAATTTGAGAGAAACTGGTTACCTGAGACAGCAGGGGCACCCGCGTAGCAGGAGGGAGTCTAGTAGAGCAGGCAATCCTGGAGAGCTTGACGGCCGAAAGTATTAGTCTCGCTCGATTCATCTCTATTGACGGAACTCCAAGTAATCTCTGTCAAGTGTTGGCCTTGCTTGAAAATGGAAAAGCTGTAAATTTCCGGAGCAAGGGAAGGAATTTCA